AGGTCACTGCAAAATTAAGAGATTTCATTAGTTGACTGACAGATAATATATTAAATTTAAAATCATGAACCGACAAAACATTAGGGAGAGTTAAAGGGATTAAGGGAAATCACCTATAGAAGAAATGGGGGCATGTGCACATGTAGCCTATAGGTAAAGAAACAAAAGGTGGGCAAGTAGATGATTTTAAATTGGTGAGGGGTGAAGATGCAATATGATGCGTGGCACCACTATCTATTACCCAGGGGGACGGCATTTAGGAAAAATTGGAAGGAGAATTGGAGGAAAATTTGGATGGAGGGCGGGACTCACCTGCAAATGCCATGGAAGTGGGTTTTAATGGCTCCAATAATTGGTTGTATTGCTTGGTAGAGAGACCCGGGGCGACACTCACGGTGGAGGAACTTTGATCGACGATGACACAGCCCATATCTTGCAGCCGCCACCTGTTTAGTTCCAATTCCTTCCTTGCTTCGATTTTCTGTGGGAATTATATATGTATACAAGTCAACTTTGCATCCCACTAATTCACTCCCTAGCAGCCACCGACTTTGTTAATTACGCAGTTCAATTTCCAGCCTACTCAATCTATCATTTTCTGTGTGTCCAATATATTCAATTCAGCCCCAGCAAAAGCTACCGCCTTTCTGTTGGTATGTATATATGATTCTCAATTCTTTCCCAGGCAGCCGTTTTTGTATGTATAGATTCCTCTTCTTTGGCCTCCAATTTTTATTTTATTCCACTTCAAATTATAACCAACAGCCTCTGCCTTTTTCTATCCAAAATGCTGCCCACTTTGTATTCCAATTCCGGCCCCCAATTCTGGCAACCGATTTTATTAATTCAGCAACCCAATTTCTTTAATTCCAGCCGGTGCACTTGCTGTCACGGATTGGTCATTCCCGATGCTCTGATACCATGTTAGAATTTTAGACAGTATAATTTTGTGAATGAAGTATAATTTTCATTGATCGAATGAACATCTTACAATGCCTTTTTATAACACAAGAGATTGTGTATAGTAGGTAGATATCCTTATCTAGGAATGAAAATCATCATAGAATAAAACAATAACATAATTTTCCCGACAAGAATCCATTAAAAAGTTGTCTTAATCTGCTTTGCACACAAATTAGTGGTTTAATGATTTGAAGCTAGTGTAAAGGCGTGGAGCAGCAAATGCAATAAGTAATGTTAGTCTCCCTCCAAGAGATAAATGTCTGGTTTCCCACCCAATAAATCACTTTCTAATTTTGTTGTAAAGCTCATAGAAAAGGAAGGCCTTTCAATACTCCTCATGAAGTTGAGGGTTGTGCTGTCTCGGTGATAGGAGAAGGGTGTGGTGAGAGAGCTTTTACCTTTGTGATGCAAATCAGGAGAAAGATGCGCCGTAATTCCGCAATCACCCATAATTCTGTAAACCATGCAGAGGATTTTTAGGAGATTGCATATTTGTTGCAATTCTGTTCTTTTTATTCTGTTTAATTCTCTCCAAGTTTATTGCTTTCATAGTTTAGTCTTTCTGATTTATTGCTTTCCTAGTTGGGGGATGGAGATTGTAATATTGGTTTGTTATTTAAGGAGGAATAACATAATAATGAAGGCAGTTTTTAGCCATTCAACACATCTGAAATTTTCTAGAGTGATTCCAAAGGTACAGAGAGATTCTGTAGTTATCTTGCTGCTGGTATTAACGTGAGGTTGGTCCAGTAGTTGGCACCAATTTTTGGTATCAGAGCAACCAAGATCCATGCCCATATCCCGCAGTGGTACTTCGGTGTGTCAAACAACCAAGATAAAAACGACCAACATCCAATCACTCAAAAAATAGACCAGCCCCAGTTGCAGCACCAAATCAATCAGATCACCACAGTGTTGGAGCAGCTCACTCATCGACTAGATGTCATGGAGGGACATTATGTTCGAAAAGAGCATGGACCTTTCAACTGAATGGAGCGCAGAGCAGCTCGTGGGGGAGAGCTAGACGAAATTGAGGGAGATGCTGATGAAGAGGAATGGGAAGAAGAAAGCCGGGAGGTTGAAGACCATGAGCCTCATATCCGACGTCATAGGCAAAATTTTCCCCAGTGTGTGCTGGTCATGGTACAGGTTATCAAACTTTGGATGAACTGACCAAGAGAATGAAGGTTGATGTGCCAGATTTTTTTTGGAAAATTAGAGCCCAACGCTTTGAGGACTGGCTAACGGCTATCGAAGATTATTTCGATTGGTTTGCCGTATTGGAGGATAGAAAGGTTCGTTATGTTCGGACGAAATTGAAGGGGCATGCATGAGCATGGTGGGGAAGTGTGGAAGAACAATTACACCGTACACAACGACCAGCAGTTTTTAATTGGGAAGAGATGAAGGAGTGACTGAAGGAAAAGTATTTGCCCGTTGATTATGAACAAATGATGTTTGAGGAGACGTTGCAACTCAAGCGGGGGTCATTGAGTGTTGATCAATTTACGGATCGCTTCCATGAATTGACTGTCCGTAGCAAGATCGTGGAGACTGAGCAGCAGACTTTAGCCCGATACCGCACCGAACTATGCAGTGAGATACACAAAGAAATGTGGACTGCTCGTTTAATCAATGTGGAAGAAGCTTATCAATTGGCGCTCCGTATTGAGAAACAATTAGTGCCTTCGGTTGGAAGGAAAATGACGTCGACAGATTTAAGGCCCGAGCATGTCACCACACCCTCATTCCAAAGGCCTCCATTGTTGAAAGATCAACCTAGAGGTGCAGTGAGTGGAGACCAGAAAGAAAAAGCAAGTCAACAGTGAAGGACCACAATGTTATAAATGTAAAGGCTTTAGGCACTATCCTGTTGTGTGTCCTACAAGAGATAAGAAGCTAGCCTTTATATGTGAAAAGGAATTATTAGTAGTGGACACGGTTGAAAACATGGATGGGGAGAAGACCGATGGGAGCAGTCACGATGAAGAAGAGCACTTGGGTGCATCAGACTTACCTAGCTGTGTGATCCAACGAGTGTTGACTGGAACTAAGAGAGAACTCCAGGCTAATCCCGAGTGGTTGCGGACCAATATTTTTCGCACACGCATGGAGCATAATGGTCGGGCTTTGAATGTCATTATTGATAATGGCAGCAGCATGAATGTGATCTCCGAAGCTGCCATTGAACGTTTGGGGCTGAAAACCGAGAAGCATCCCACCCCTTATCAATTTAGCTGGGTTAATGAAGCCAACTCAGTCCTAGTGAGGCAGCGTTGCTTGGTTAAATTTTCATTGGGAAAGAAATATGTGGACGAAGCCTGGTGCGACGTGATTCTTATGACCATCTGCCATATGCTATTGGGACGTCCGTGGCTTTATGATCGGAGGGTTCTCTATGACAGTTATGCTAATACTTACTCTTTTAATTTCAAAGGTAAGAAATTTGTGTTGGATCCTTTACAGATTTCGGAATTTGAAACAGAAAAGGAGACTGTCCCAGTTTTGACGATGTGACAATTCTCTCGAGTTATGCATCAGGATGATGCGGTACTTCCACATGCCAAATTTGCATTCAATAATTCGGTTACCAGGTCAATAGGCTGCACTCCATTCGAAGTGGTCTATGGGTTTCGACCTAGCACTCCACTTGATGTTAACTCATTACCATTGCCGCCCAGGCCAAGTAAGGCTGCGCTGGAATTTTCTAACTCTATGCGAGATGTCCATGACGAATGCAAACAGCGCCTTAGCTTCCATACAAGTTCTTATGCAGCTTCAGCAAATGCCAAACACAAGGATCGACAATTTAATGAAGGAGATATGGTTCTTGTTCATTTAAGGCCGGAGTGTTTCCCTCTGAGGAGTTTTACCAAGCTTCATGCACGCCGAACGGGTCCTTTTAGAGTAACCAAGAAGTTTGGCACTAATGCATATGTTATTGACTTACCCTCTTATTTTCGTATTAGCCCTGTTTTTAACATAGAAGACCTTACGGAGTTCAAGGGTGATCCCAGTGAAATTTCCGCATTACCAGTTTTGAGAGTTCCAGAAAGTGCAGTACCACGAGACGAGATTGCTGCCATTCTTGACCATCAATTTGTTACAACTCGTCGAGGTGGGTATTACAAGTTCTTAGTGCAGTGAAAAATAGGCCAAATTCAGATTATGTTTGGCTGCAAGCTTCAGAAATCAAACGCTTACATCCACGCCTATTTACTGCTTACACTAGTCAAAACTTGCCAGAGTCAAGTTCTTCAGGAGAGCTGGCAATTGATGCAAATCAGGAGAAAGATGCGCCGTAATTCCGCAATCAACCATAATTCCGTAAACCATGCAAAGGATTTTTAGGAGATTGCTTATTGTTGCAATTCTGTTCTTTTTATTGTGTTTAATTCTCTCCAAGTTTATTGCTTTCCTAGTTTAGTCTTACTGATTTATTGCTTTCCTAGTTGGTGGATGGAGATTGTAATATTGGTTTGTTATTTAAGGAGGAATAACATAGTAATGAAGGCAGTTTTTAGCCATTCAATACATCTGAAATTTTCTGGAGCGATTCCAAAGGTACAGAGAGATTCTGTAGTTATCTTGCTGCTGGTATCAACGTGAGGTTGGTCCAGTAGTTGGCACCACTTTGTCAATGAGTTTTCATAAGTTGCTGTTAGGATTTTTCTCTTCTCCCAGGAATTGATCAATTCAGATTTGCAAGAAAGGAAAAAAAACACAGAATGTGGACAGGATATAAAACCAGAGAAAGAAACAAGATTTTTGACACAAGAATTTCATGCTTTTTGGAGAAAAATTTCATCAACCCATTTCAAGGAATTTCACCCCAGTCAATCTACCATTAAAAGAGAAGCTATTACACAGTGTTTATCTTACACAAAACACCACCAGCACTCATCACTCTACAGGCTACCAGGAAAACTCCTCTTAGAAAGTTCAGAGAGAGAGAGAGTTACAGAGGCTTGTGTTGCGGAGAATTTTCTCACACCACCTTACTTTCCCTTCCTATAGAAAATCCCTTCCTTGCTCACTCACAGAATGTGATTCCCCACATTCTCTTGCTCACTCATGTTCTCAGCCCTCTTGGTCCTACTTATAGACATAGGATCATAGAGATTTACAAGAATATGTATCTAATATTCAGTTAAAACTAATACAAGACAATTAGTTAGAATCTAAGGCTCCCAACTAATTTTCTAACTCTCTTAACTAATATCCTAACCAAAGAGTTTAACAATCGAATCAAGATTCAACATCTTCTTTACAGTTGCTTCATATTGATGTTGTTAAGACAGTTCACTCTTATTGTCTCATATCCCGAACGCATCAAATACAAATGAAATTTCACAAAAAAAAAAAAAAAAAAAAAAAGGAGAAAACAAGAAATTTTTAAAAA